GCTGCAATTCGGGCGCCACTTTCAAATACTGCATTTTTCAGTTCTGCCCTCGGGGCCTTTGCAGAAATGCCCCTGGTACCGTACGTGTCACCGGTACTTATACCGGCTCCCCGTACGGTACGGGGGGCAGTCTCGTACCAGTTCTCTGCTTCTGTACTCGTACTCAGTGTGACTAGCTGTTTCGGCATTCGGAATCCAAGACTTCGACTTTGTGCCTTACCACTGTGTCTGCGTCCGACCCTCAGTCTGAGTCTGTCGAGTCGAGTGAGTGAGTGTGTGTGTGTGCTCTCACTCTCTCCCTCTCTCTCCTCTCTCTCGGCTCACCCTCAGCCTCACGCTCGTTACAGTTCCTCTCAGAGCGGTGCAAGTTCTGGAAACAGAGATGCTCACTCAGTGTACAAAAAAAGAAAAAGAAAAAAAAACAGATACAGGGCCTCGCTGCACTATTCTCGAAACGTGCAAAACGAGAGTGAATCTTCCGCTAGATTATGGAAAGATACACCCCCATGAGTTTTATCTTTTGTGGTTGTCGAGAGCAGTGCAGGGAGGCCCACAGCGCTCGGCTGACGCCTCATGTTTGGGACATGGAAATATAAGGTCTCGCTCCACTACTCTCTACATGTGCAAAACGAGAGTGAATCTTCCACTAGAACACGGAAAGATACACTGCTATGATTTTGTCTTTTGTGCATGTCGAGAGAGTGGAGCGAGGCCCATACTAAAGCTTCGTGGCCCTTTTGTTTTGTTTTATTTTTTTTGAAAATTGAGAAATTGTCCAAAAAAAGAAAGATCCACTGCCACGATTTGTCTTTCGCGGTTGCTGTTGGAGGGTTCATCCTGCGAGATTTGCAATGGCCCACGCTGAAAATGGGAATGAATTTTACGCAGGAACATGGAAGGATACAGAGAAGATCAGCATGGCCCTGCTGAAGAATGATGACTTCTGGCAATAGAGCTATTTACGGCTCTCTGACTACGAGTCCGCCATCCGTGCCTTCGCCTGCTCCTCTGGCAGGAGCAGCCACCCTATGGGGAAAAAGAAAACGTACGACAGAAAAAGGAAGAAGGGAAAAAAATTAAAAAAAAAAGGGAGGGAAAAAAAACGAAATAAGCAGCACAGAAGTACCGGTCGCCAGCATTGAAGGACCGGTCAGCCCCATATCACGACCAGTTGCAAGCTGCATTCCCATAAGACGAAGAGGTTCGGTAGCTTGCCAACAACAAGGTTTGGGAAGGCTGCTTCGGGGGTACTGGTGGTTTAAGGGAGACGAGACCGGCAGTTGTATCCTCCTTTGGTGCCGTGAGGGCACACTTCCACTAGGACTTCTACGGCAACGCTCTCTACGTGATTGTGGTCAGATTCATCCAGGTCTGGCCATGATCGCAGCCAGATGCCTCAGATGAATAGAATAAATGATTTGTTCCCCGGTCGCCCTTTGAAAGAAAAGACAGGAAAGGAAGAGAAACAAAAAGATGAAACAATCGGGCTATCTCCACTAACATGGGACACACTACACACACACAAGGAAAAACACCTCACCCCCTGTGCGCGCACATGGAAGATAGCAGCACGTACCCCAGCGCACTTCCCATGCACGTGCAGTGCGAGCGGTGCGCACGTGCACGCGCATCACCCCTGTGCACACGGCGCACCGCATAGGTGCGCCACAAGTATGTTAATAACACTCTAGCAATTTCAGCTACATGCCTTAGCCTGCTCTATCCAAGGTTATGACTTCCTACGTTCCTACCTTTCAACGTCACACTTCCAAACACACAAGGACATGAGACTTCCTACCTTGACTTCCAAACGCACAAGGACATGAGACTTCCTACCTTGAGTTTCGTGTTCTCCTCACTCAGTGCCTCAATTTTATCCAGGACCTCTTTGGATGGCTGTGCAGACATTTTGGCATCCAAAAGCTGAGCTGCAGCGACCTTTGCCTGAGCTAAGTCTGCCTCATGTCCCTTGCGCTCCTTCGCCACTAACATCTTCATTTGCTCCACCTGTGCCTTCGCTTCCTCCATCGCCGACTGCAATTTGGCCAGCTCACTGTTCCTTGCAATAAGGCTCACCTGCAGTAAATTGCGGTCAGAAATTATCAGCACGTCTCCAACTGGCTGCCACATCAATGCAGCTCATGGCCCAGAAAAGGAACTCCATCGACCAGCTGTAACCAATGACAGTATTCTTGACTAACATACAAAAGCAAACAGGTCTCACAGGATGAACCAGGAATAGGAAAAATGTGCAAGAACAAACAGAGAAGATGCAGTTGATGCAACTTTCTTCATGCACCCAAGATGGATTCATTAAGAACAAAAGTGAACATCGTTGAAAACCGAGTGGTATACGATCATATGACCACGTGCTTCAATAAAAAGAAGAGACACTGGCCATCATTTCATCCACAGAAAAGGACTGCTATGGAAGTCGCACGCAGTCTTAAACGGTTTGAAGAAATCAATTAAACATGGCGCAAGGAGTAGAAGACCTTCAGAGACTTCCAAGTAGATGAGCTGCACATACATGCACAAACAAGCAAGTGCAATAACAGGACCAGCACTACTCGATTGGCGTGTATCAAAGATAGAGTGACAAAATGTAGTTGGCCTTGAAAAGGTAAGAGGACGCAAAGCCACTGATGTCTGAGTCTGTTCCTGGTTTCGCGGGGTGCTGTTATTTGTGTGCTGTGTGCTTGCCTGAGTACTGAGTGTGTCTGTGACTGGGTGTGATGCCCTGCATCATTGGTTTGGCCCTCTCAAGCCTGGTACTAACCCCCTGATGCCGTGCTTGTGGCCTGTGCACCCAGTACTGGGCTGAGGTAGGTAGGCCGAATAGGCCAAGAGTAGGCAGTACCAGGTAGGTAGACAGAAGAAGACAAAATAGGACTTTGGGTAGCCCAAGGAATTTCCTGAGTCCCGTTTCATTGTTTCCTGGATGTGATCTACTCGGTTTTTCTTTATGACTGGTTGTGAGGATTGAGTGCAGTGATTTGCACTTTCAGTGTTGAAAAAAAAAAAAGAAAAAAAAAGAAGGAATTTCCTGAGTCCAGGTAGGCCCATGGGAAGAATCAGGAAGGTGAGACTGCCAGGCCTGGCAGGACCCACATGCGGTCGGGCAGGACCTACGGACAACGTCCTGCAGGCCCTGATGTGCAAAAAGAAAAACAAAAAGCAGTAAAAATTTAAATTAAATAAATTTTAATTAATTCGGAAAAAAAACTATGTTCAGTAGAATTCCACCGCAAACAACTTTTGGCTGAGGGTCACCTCAGAACTACTTATAAAATCGAAGACAAAAAAGAAAATAAAAAACTAAAGCAAGGTACCACCTCTACCTTTCAGAGAAACTCAAAACACCATTTTGCCAGAAACCGCATACTTCGGGTGAAAATGACTGGTGGTGTCAGCCGACCAAAAAAAAAAAAAAAAAAAAAAAAAAGTTAAAAAAAACATCGTGCTGGTACTTCGGCGAAGCTTGGTGCACAGTTCTTTTCAACCTCTGCAAGCAGAGGCTCAGACCCCTTTCCTTTAAGCCCCTGCCCCCCTTCCCCCCTCTCATGGATAACACTGAAAATGTTACGGACGGCACCAGGGGTTTCAATCCCTGGTCTGCGGGTTACTGCCCGCCAGCTTGCTGTATTTATGCTTTTTTTTGTTTTCACAATTTTCTTGTTTTATTTTGTTTTTGCTCTTCTGATTTCAGACAGTTGGGGCCATCTGCATTCGGGTGCCCATTTTCAAAATTCCTTCTTTTGGGACTTTCGGATTTCGGACACTGCGCCATCCGACATTCTGGCGCCCACTCTCAGACTTTCGATTTTCAGTACTGGCCCTGAGGCATTTGAACTTTCGCCCTCAGGACCGTACCTGAGTGCGGTACTCATGTCCGGACTCAAGCCCAGTACGGGCACCAAGTTTTCAGCCTCTGTGCTTGTGTTGCTGCTCTGCCTCTGCCTCGTCACACTGGTATCGCCCACTCTCAGACTTTCGATTTTCAGTACTGGCCCTGAGGCATTTGAACTTTTGCCCTCAGGACCGTACCTGAGTGCGGTACTCATGTCCGGACTCCAGCCCTGTACGGGTACCAAGTTTTCAGCCTCAGTGCTTGTGTTCAGCGTGACTTTCTCCCGGCATTGTGTTCGGGAATTCAAGACTGCGACTTTGCGACTTTCGCCAATTTGTGTCTGCGTCCGCCAAGTCGTGTCGAGTCTGTGTCAAGTTGAGTGAGTGTGTGTGTGTGCTCTCACTCTCCCTCCCTCTCCCAGGCTCGCTGGTCTGCCTCTGCCTCGTCACACTGGTATCGGAGCGGCGTCGATCGCCCTCCCGCCCGCCCTGATCGACACGGAGCAGCTTCAACGACGCCATCATCGAAATTGCCACGTCATCTACAACGTCGACATTGCCACTTCATCGTCATCGTCGCCACATAAAAGTCGTCGCTGCCACGTCATCAACAATCCTGAATCGCAGACAACAAGGTGCAAGTACGTTTTTTTTTTTTTTTTTTTTCCGTTTCTTCTTTTCTCTCTTCTTTCTTCTCTCTCCTTCTTCGACGTTTCTTCCCTCGTTTTTTTCCCCCATCATTCTTCTCATCGTCTTCCCCCATCGTTCTTTGAAATCGAACCCCTCGAAGTCAAAATCAATCCGGATTTCAATTCCGAAATCGAATCGATTTCGATTCGCAATCTTAATCAATTCGATTCGATTCCTTCCACG